CTTCCCCCGTCCCCGCCTGCCACTGTCCCCACAACCCCCCATACTCTCTCAGCTCTATCGGGTCACTGCTGCCCTCCGACCCGGGCCAGCGAGAGCCCCTCGGCGGCTTCTCCATACTCATCCCTTCATCTCTTCTAGACCTCCTCTGAGGCCTTCTTCCATAATGGGAATCACCAGTAAGAACTGGGGGGAAAGTGAGTACAGCCATGTGCGTGGAAAAGTGAAACGGCCCACTTCCCCAAGAACAAATCCCACCAACAGGAAGACAATGGGAAGCGGATTATTTTTTTTTTTCACTGAATCCTCTCATCCTTAATGAAAGATTTTCAACGGCCAAGATGAGTGTCCTGAAGACGCCTCACAGCAGCCAGGGCTGTTTGCATAATTACTTACCTCATGGCAGTAAGTAAAGTAACTTAGTTTCTCATTGAATATTAATACAAGGGGACTTCATTAAATGCATTAAGTGAAAAGTTGTGAGTGCTTTGAACTGTCTTTTCAGTGTAGTTGAGGAGCTCAAAATCTACAGGCATGTGGTGCCTGATTCTTCTGTCAGGCAGATAAGCACCCTGCGATCATCTCTCCTGTGTATCTAAAGTTTTGCCCATGAAAACGCGTGAGGTGCTGCTGAGCCAGGGGAATCGGGACATGGCAGGGTGCCTGGTCTGCTGTTAGAGGTTCAAACAAATTTTTTACAAACCTGCTCAGAAGAAATATTTCTTAAATAAAGATCCCATTTTCCAAACCCTGGCTTGGTCTTCAAACACGTCACCCACATTCTTTGTCTTCATAGACTCCACGGTGTTTTATGATTTGGAAGGTTGGAGGGGCCTGGACATACTCACCTGGCCAGTAGTACATGTGGACCTTCCTTTTGGCCTTGGTCAGAGTGACCCACAGAGGTTCCGATCCGTTCCACCAGAGAGGCATCAGGCTGTCTCTGTTGACACCGATGTCGAATGACTTGTTGGTGTTGGGGTCCCACATGTAGTTCCCGATCATCTGGTGGACCTCACAGTGTCGGCCTGCGGTGACAGAACACAACGCGGTCAGGTTACTGTTCGGGTATTTTTATATTGCACCTCTGTGTTCTGTTTATAAAAGCTGCTCAGCCGCATTTAGGAAATGCAAAACAGCATAAAGATTAGCTTTTGATTGTTTTTGAACAGACACGTTTCTTCTCTCTTAGCTGTACCATAAAGGCACACAATGGCCTGAGAAGCCCAATAATTGATTGAGGATGGGATCATTTTGTGTGAAGTTAATTTACCACGTCTGAAGCTATTTTAAGTTCAATTGAGGACACTGTGTGCAAAATGTGGCCCGTTGTTCCTGGCTAGAGGTCTAATATGAATCTGTATGGAAATCGCAGACCCCTGTGGCACGAGGCTTAGGTTCTCTCGCCCTCGCGCCCTCGCACCCCTTCCAGACTGTCCTCCTGCAGGGCCACAAGCAGATGCTGCGGCGCTCATTCCCCTTCCTCCTGGATAAGGGGAGCTGCCGCTTCAGCTCGAAACAGGGATAGGACCTGTGACACTGGGGACAGAAGGGCGAAAAATAGGTTAAACTTTGCAAAACAGCAAAAAATCCAACAGTCCAAGTGGAGTGTCGCAGAGATGCGAGGGCTGGTCCTGCTGGGCACGGCTTCGTCCCAGAAGAGAAGCCAGAAGTGAACGGTCCACGCGCTGGGGCTCTTTTGAAATGTTGGGCTTAAATTATTTATTCTGTGGCAATCTGTTACATCTTTAAAGTAAAAATAACGCAAACATTGGCAAGTGCCTCGAAAATTGCTGTGATTTTAGAGGGCGTCACCTGGCGCCGGGATGAAGCGTGTTCCCCGAGCTGGCTGTGCTTCATCAAAGTGGCTGTTTTGTTTGTTTGCTGTCGTTACTTCTTGACTGTTCCCCCCGTCCCCAGCAAACACGCTCTTGGTTTTTAAACAAAAACAAGAAAAAACAATAAAATGCAGTTTTGAACATTTGGAGACCCCACACAGCATAAAGGAAAAACCTTTTACTTAATCACAGAAACCCAGGCCCTGCAAAAGTTATGCTTCGAAGTTAAAGCCCAGAGATCCAAGCAGAGTGGGGTTTGGTTTTGTTTTATTTTGTTTGTACCCAAAGCTTTATAATTAGTTTTTTACCCTAACCCAAGCTTTTATATGTGGGCTGACATGTTTATAAAATAAAATACAAACTCCGTGCAAATTCCCCAGTGGTTAAGGAACTTATTGGTTCAGTTTAGTCTTTCAACTAGCATTTGCGGAATGCTCCCATGGACTGTATGTCTTCACGAAAGGTGTAGAGACTCAAATCTGAATAAACGTGGCCCCATCCTAAGTGCCTTGTGACGTGATACTCAACAGAGGGTCCTCTGGGTAAAAGAGACTGTGTCCTCCGGCCCGGCTGAGAAGGGGACCAGATTCCAGCCCTAACTTGAGACTCTTGAGGACGTTCACCCATTCTGTGCCCAAGGACAATTCCTAGTATGTTCTAACTCATTGAAAGTAGGGGCACACTTCTTATTGGCTCAATTATGTTATCTTTTTTTAGCGTATTGAAGTTTAATGATGTTTTTAAAAAATATTTTTAATTGATATTTTTAGAGAGAGAGGAAGGGAAGGGGAGAGAGAGAGAGAAACATCGATAAGATAGAATCATTGACTGGCTGCCTCCTGCATGCCCCCTCCTGGGGATTGAGCTCGCAACCGGGCATGTTCCCTGCCTGGCGCTCGAACCAGCAACCTCTCAGTGCACGGGATGGCGCACAACCAACTGAGCCACACTGGCCATGGCAGTTTAATGATATTAAGAGAGCCCCTCTCATTAGTAAAAGTTCTTACTAAAAAGACTCCATCCCTATCTAAAACATCATTTTTATCATTCTAATGACACTCACAAGGCAAGGTAATTGTGACAATATGACAATCATGACAAGTCATTCTCTGTGGGTGTTCTCTGGTGCCCTCCCAGGCGCAGGGAGGGGTCTCACTGGAGCAGGTGTGCACAGACACTGGACAGGTGCACAAATGCAAGGCGGTTGGAAAGCATCGCTAAAGTCAATACCCAAGAAGAGCCTCTAAATGAACCACAGGAACGGGCTGGAAGGGCTGGGATATCAGGTCTGGGGACACTGGGGAGAGAGGCCTCGCAGGAGGGGTGTAGGAATCTACTTTTCACTTAAACTGCTCCGACTATTTTAGAAGAAATGCCTGAAACCCAAATACAAGCAGGGGCCTTGGGTGATTCAGTTTCACAAGGTGCTGCATTTAACAAGCATGAAGCAAACACTTTTTAAATCACCTATAACTTTTACTTGTATATCTCAGAAACCCCACAGTATCATTCAATAAAATTTCTTTTCCTCTTTCCAACATTCATACTCAACACCCTTGACCCCAAAGGCTGCAAACTCTCTCACCCTCCTTTGCTCTCTGGGTAAAAAATCATGAGGAGTCTCCTCTGGATAGTAGAGCTGCTGTACTGACCGGATTGTGTGTCACTAAACTAAATTCTCCATCTCTTATATGTGGTTTTTGAAAACACCCATCGGGCTTCCCCGAGGAGAGGTAGGACCTATGTGTGCAGTTAACACACAGCTGTAGGATGTGTTAAATTTTCAGATGAGGAAATCTTCTTTCCTGTGGTTGGGTCCCTTAGCTTTTTCATGATGGATCTTCCCTCCTCACCATTGTGTAGGCTCTTAGTACCCCCTTCCAGTAACAACCGAATCGGGGGTTCCTGCTGACTCATTGAAGAAGGTTGTTATGACACTCCTGAGGGAAGCATCTCTGAGACCAAGACTCCAAAGATGGCTTTGGTTCCTGCTCCCACGAGCATCTGGTTGGTCTGGGCTGGCCCAGAGCAGCTCATCCATTCTAAGGGGAACTCAGGCCTATGGAGGTGAGTGATCCATCCCGGCTCCCGAGACTCAACACTCCTCCAAAGGCTGGAGGTGATGCTCCGGAAGAGAGGTTCCCGCTCACCTCCTAGGAGTGGGTAGTGCCTGGAGATCCGGGGACCAGTAGTGTTTCCTTTTATGAGTTAAAGGTTTTCCACATGTAGAGTGGAGTCCTTCCAACAAGATCATCTCGGTCCCCTATTTAGAAAGTGGGTTCTATGCTTTGGGTGGCTTGGGCCTTGGGTTATAATGGGAGACTATATTCATCAAAGGCTTAGTGACAGGCGCTGTGCTGGTCCCAGGGGCACCCCTTTGTTCTGGGAAGCTTGCCCTTCACGGAGGCCAGGAAAATGTGTGCCTCCCCCTCATCGGCAGCTCCGTGGCTTCTGCTGAGCCGACTTTCCTTCCCACGAGGAGACTAAGGCTGGCATCTGTGTGTGTAACAGCCTGAGCCTGCTCTTGCTCGAGCTGGTTTCTCACCTCCCTGTGTCTCTCGCTCTCTCACACTCATTGCCTGGGTAAAAACATGGTGAGAAAGAACAGAACAGAGGGTCTGGCTCCTGCAGCCCACAGGCTCTGTCTCCATATCCCTGCCTGGCCCGTATCTATTTTTGTGCATCGGCGGCTCTTCTTGATTTTCTCCGGTTGGGTGCAACAGACAGAGCTTTGCGGCAGCGTCAGGCGTGGTGTGCAGGAGGCAGGCCCACTTTCCCCTCGCCTCCCAATGGCATCTCTGTGGGGCTTCACAGGCTGTGCCAGGAGGCGCGGTGCTCACCGTGAGAAGGGGGGCAGTTCCTGGTCAATCTCCAACACAGGTAAACGGTTTTCTCTTTGTTCCTCCCTCATCCCTAAGACCGGAGAGTTTGTAAACACTCAGGTTCCACAGCCAATAAGGAACTTTTTTATTATAGGAAAGCTCTCCTAATTCCTGGCGTACAATCACTCTTCAATTTAATTTAATTTAATGCTCATCTTTAATTTCTAAAGCCACCCATTATGTTTCCCTGGGGTCCATGTGTGTTTCCATTGGATGAATGCAGTTATGTGTACTAGGTATCAAAACAGCTGGTTGAAAAGTAAAAAATAAAGTTATATTTTAGACACATCAATTTATTCAAAACGTAAATACAGATTACAAAATACTAATGAGGAGCTTGGAAATGATTCTTTTAGAACATACACATTTTCACCCAGAGGCAGAACCCAGGGGAGCTGAGTTCCAAGTCACAGGCAGGCTTCTGGGGCCACCTGCTAGAAGTCTGGGTTACAGCCATGTGTGACTGGCATCCAGAACCAGGCTGTGGGCAGTCTGTCCCGCCCCAGGAGATGAGGGATACAGTGGGGAGATGACAGGCAAGTGATCAGACCGACCATTGCTAGCCCACTTTACAGGTGAAGTAACTGAGACCTAGTCTCACTCACACCAGGAGGGGTAGTGGACCTGGGCTTCAGAGGCAGCCTGGGTGCGGAGCCCCGGCTCTCTGCCACTGTGATCTCCTGGCACGAAGCACAGCGTACGAGCTGCCTCTCATACAGGGCCCGGCACTTAGCAAGCTGCCCTTGTTGTGTTGACCATGGTGCAGTCTGTGTGCTCCACCCTCGAGGAGAGGATGACTGCAGCTGACCAGGTCAGTCCAGGGCGGGTCTGTCTTCTCAGGTAACAATGCATGGAGGCCTGGAGGCCAAGGCAGACTCGGGAAGGGTCATAGCTGAGGCCAGTGGCCTGAACCAATTTGACAGGTGCTTGCTGATCGACTCAGTAAAGGACGAGTTACCAGTTCCTGGCCACCTCCCATTATCTGGAACTCAGTGCTTCCAGCTCCCATCTCCTTTTGTTCTGACCGTAACTCTAAGAGACAGGTGACATTATCATCATGTTCCAGGCGGGAGAACTCAGGCTCAAAGCGGCTGAGTGACGAGGCTTGGGCCGCGCAGCTGGTGGAAGGGCGGAGCCCCATCCAAGCCAGGTCCCTCTGCCCCAATGCCACACCCTTCCCGGCCCCAGCAACGTTCCAGCCACTGGATTCTCATCTGCCCGCCAGGGCCTGGCTGTTTTAATAGAAATGGCCTCAAAATCCAGGTCTGCTTCTGAGGTTCTCACTAAAGTAACCACATGGAGTTTCCC